CTGTATTTAATTATGTTTATCTGCAGTTAGTTACACGAATTCATATATGAGATGAAATCGGATAGAGCTGAAATCGGATAAGGATGAACGGGTTTAAGAGTTTTTAAAAGTTTTAAGAGTTTTATAAGAGTTTTAAGAGTTTTAGCCAAATACTTTATAAGATAGTATTTAATATCGAATTCATGATACACGATTTAATTATCTAATTGTTTGGATTCGAATAATTGATTTTTTTTTAATAATTTAATATCAAATTCATAATATAAATGATTTAATTGTGTGGGAATCTACCGTATATTTAGATCTGAATTTAAAATTGATTATTATATTAAAATCGTAATAAATTCTTAAAAAATAAAGAAGTAAAACGGTAAAAGTCTAAATGAGAATGAGAACGAATATTTATACCTCTTATAAAAGGTAAACCCTTTTTTTTTAATTAATTTAGATATTTAATCCGCTATGCGAGCCGATTAATCCCAGCACGATCACCTGCTTTGCAGATAACCTGGAGTCACCGTATTTGAACCTACTTGACCACAAGGGAATTTTTATTTCTCATTGGATTTGAACTTGGGACCTCCTGAAAGTAAACCTTTTTCTTATAAAAGTCAATAATTTACGAAAAAAAAATCTACTTATCATCTATCCAATAAGCTATAGAACCTTGTGAGTTAACTCAACTGACAATAAAGTCCGGGCTTTTGAGAATTCTTTATGAATGAACTTGTTGGTCAAACTGTAGAACGAGGGATAATTAAACTGATAACCATTACCGTCAATTACTTACAAATTTAACGTATACTCAACTGTTATTTCTTTTATCATGGCTTTAAGATTAACGACTTCTGTTCATTTCCCTAACATTTGCTTTGATTCCGGATTCAAATTTTCAAACTTCTATACAACTACTCCCGGAACAACCGATTTAACATTATTTAAGATGTGACGTTCATGATCATTATTCCGTCTAGTTAAAATGTCGTTATATAGAGTACCAACAATACAACACGTGAATTAATCTCCATTTTCTAAAAGTACGTCTTTCCGTCATGTTCAATTCTCGCAACTAACATTTATTTCCTTCAATCACCTACATTCAATAAAGTTAATCTAGTGTCATTACGGATAAGATCAAATGTCTTAAATGTAAATCGTCAGCTTGTTTGTAATACGTTTTAATCAGTATGATTGTTTGTTGGAATTGTACTTGACCGAGTATGATGACGGATTAGAAGCAAAAAATAAAATTAAAACCATTTAAACAGTCAAAAATATCACTAAATTTAAGGAAACACAGAACAAATTCCATAAGCAACAAACTGAAAAACAGGATCTAACTGTTAAAAAAACTCAAAACCAACACAATCACCCTGATCAATTAATATTAACCAAAATTATAAAAACAAAGCAGATACATTACAAATATTCAATGAGTGACGAAAAAAACGATACCTAACGGGAGATGCAAGACCAAATGAAATCGTCCTTTTTACTATTCACCCAATTCGATAAACGTAAGACAAGATTCGAAATCAATTCTCGAACATTGTTTGTATCTTTGATATTCATTTGTCGAATTCGAAACTACAAACTAAAATGGTACAATAAAAGACAAATTATATGTTATTATAATAATTACAATTCATCATTACTTTGAGATTCATAATATATATATATATAATATATCTATATATATAGACTTGGGATCATGTTCAAATTATTATAATATCATATAATTTTGTGATTATTGAGAAGTTTCGTGACAATTTTGTGATTAGAAATATTCAGATTATAGATCTAAATCAAAATTTGAGAATTGGTGTTACGGATCTCACAAAAAAATATTTGAGTATATATATATATATACATAATGGAATCGATGTGGACTACTTATTGTGTGATAAACCTAAACAAGTAGATTGAGAGATGTAACGTGTACCATTTTGGAAGTAGAATATACGTGAAATAATGGCAACCAATACCATATGATCAGGTGTGAGTAGTGGTTGTTCTGCTTAGTGTCATGATATGTACATGCCACAAGGATATATAATACATATACTTACAAGCGAGAGAAGTCCCTTCCGTTATCGACAAAAATGGCAGCTCGAAGAATCTCCGGCTTCATCTCCCGTTCTCTTTCGTCTTCAATCGCTTCTCCAGGTAAATGGTACTTCCATTCATGGATAATATCATCCGGGTGTTAATAGTTTACCATCTTTTCAAGTTGGTTGGTTATGTGTTTGATGGAATTCCTCAATGAAAGGATAAAGCCGGTATGCGTCGTCGTTTCTTGATAGAACGTGCAACATGTTGATGAACAAGAAACCTGCAGGCGGAATCATGGCCGAATTGAGATTTTTTTTTTCTTTTTCTTGATAAATCTTGAAAGTGTGGACCATCTTTTTGTAATGGAAACTGGATCTGGATCATGTTTATGAGTTAATATAGGTATTGCTGGACTAAAAATTAGTCTAAAGATTGAAACAAGGTTAAACAGATGCAGGAGTTTGGTGTGTTGTTTGTTGGGTTTGACATAGATGCTGCTTACTGTCTCCTTGTTCTGTGATTTGGGGTTTTGTTGTAATGTGAATCTAGATGTAAATTGTTAGAGATTGAATAGGAAAAAGAAAATCTTGGGGAAATTTGTAACCATTTTCTTTCCTTTTTCAGGAAGAACGTGTAACTTGAGAAGTGAAATACAAAGATTTAGCACTGCTGCTGCACTTCAGGAACCAATTACTCCACCTGTTCGTATTAATTACAGTCAGCTTCTAATTGATGGGAAATTTGTTGATGCAGCATCCGGTAATGCATCATATTATGTCTGATTAAACTAAACCAAACTAACCAGTATGTCCCAACCAGTGTCTGTTTGGGATAAGATGTATGGAAACATGAGCACTTTCTAAAAGAGTGAGCTGTTGTTTTCATGAATACTTAATCCTGAAGTTGATTACGTTTGCTTAAGTTGGGATTTTTATATCTTGTTTCAGGGAAGACATTTCCAGCCTTTGATCCGCGGACAGGGGAAGTCATTGCCAATGTAGCCGAAGGTGACGCAGAGGATATAAATCGTGCAGTTTCTGCTGCTCGCAAGGCTTTTGATGAAGGCCCGTGGCCTAAAATGACTGCTTATGTAAAACAACTTTTCATGAATATCCCTCTTTTGTTCTCTGTTTTTGCTTTTCGTAAGTTGTTTTTTGTGAGAATATGTAAGAAGATTAAGAGCTCCTGTGGAGAAATGGGAGGTTCCAACCTATATTCCGATATGGGACTCTTAACGGTATTTCAATCTTGCAGGAGCGGTCGTGTGTCTTGCTGAGATTTGCTGATTTGGTGGAGAAACACAACGATGAGCTTGCAGCCCTTGAGTCATGGAACAATGGGAAGACTTATGAGCAGGCTGCGAAAAGTGAAGTACCAATGCTTGCACGTCTATTTCGCTATTATGCTGGTAGGTATTCATGCAATTCTAGCCATATATCTGGTAAGTCATACAAGAAATCTTCCATATCGTGCTCTTGAAACCTGCAGGTTGGGCAGATAAGATCCATGGTCTAACGGTTCCAGCCGATGGACCTTACCATGTGCAAACTTTGCATGAACCAATTGGCGTTGCCGGTCAGATCATTCCATGGAACTTTCCTCTTCTTATGTTTGCATGGAAAGTTGGGCCTGCCCTTGCTTGCGGCAACACCATCGTTCTGAAATCTGCAGAACAAACTCCATTGACCGCTCTTTATGCTGCAAAATTGCTCCTCGAGGTAAAATAAGATTTTCTTTATGGGACCTTTTCTTTATTGGGACGGAGGTAAGGTTTGCATACATCCTACCCTTTCCCAGACCCTACCTTTGTATGGGATATACTAGGTTCGTTTGGTTTGGTTTATTAACCGGCATCTTTACCTACGTGTTTCATGGGACAGGCTGGTCTTCCTCCTGGTGTTCTTAATGTAGTTTCAGGCTTTGGTCCTACTGCTGGTGCAGCTCTTGCTAGCCATATGGATGTTGATAAGGTAAGATATTCACATGTGAATCCTTGTATTATTGTGCTTATTAGCGTCGAGTGAATCCTTGTATTATTGTGCTTATTAGCGTCGAATTTGATAATTGAATGCTTTCATTTGCAGATTGCTTTTACAGGATCAACAGAAACTGGTAAAATTGTGCAAGAATTGGCTGCAAAAAGCAATCTTAAGGCAGTGACTTTAGAGCTTGGAGGGAAATCGCCTTTTATCGTGTGCGAGGATGCTGACATAGATAAGGCTGTTGAACTAGCACACTTTGCTCTCTTCTTCAATCAAGTAGGTGTTCTGCATATTCGATTTTATAGCTCTCAAAATATGTCAAACATGAACTAATGGCTCAACTCCATATAGGGCCAATGTTGTTGCGCTGGTTCTCGTACATTTGTTCATGAGCGGGTACATGAAGAGTTCTTGGAGAAATCAAAAGCCCGTGCTCTAAGACGCACCGTTGGTGATCCTTTCCAGAAGGGCATTGAACAAGGCCCTCAGGTATTTGGACTTCATGTATTTGTAAATATACACTGTTGGAGGAGTCCCACATCAGCTAGACACGAACCAACAAATGTACATGTTGATTTTCTATGTTTATATGCTAAGATTAAGAACCTTATTATATCAGATCGACTCGGAGCAATTTGAGAAGATTCTACGATACATAAAATCTGGGGTTGAAAGCAATGCTACCCTTGAATGCGGAGGTGACAGATTCGGCTCCAAAGGTTTCTACGTCCAACCAACTGTTTTCTCCAATGTTAAGGTAGGATGCTTTACCGATATCAATTCCCGTGGCCAGAATGTATAAAAGTTAGTTTATATATGAAATTATTTCTTCACACAGGATGACATGCTGATAGCAAAAGATGAGATCTTTGGTCCTGTTCAGTCCATCCTGAAATTCAAGTAAATCCCATCATGACTTGTTATACTGCAATTATTTTCAAAACCTTCGTTTCGGTAACTCAAACATGACATAATTTACATCTGAGAACGCATGAAAAATGTATAACATACGTTGGTCTAAAATTTTGAGACATAGGTACCAAAATGAAGGTTTTTTAAGAGTACGTTAAGTTGACAAACTCTTAATTTCCTCACTTGTGCTTATGATAGGGAGATTGACGAGGTGATAAAGAGGGCTAACGCGACACGATATGGGCTTGCAGCCGGTGTGTTCACGCAAAACCTCGATACGGCTAACCGATTGAGCCGGGCATTGAGGGCTGGGACAGTTTGGGTGAATTGCTTTGATGTTTTTGATGCTGCAATTCCTTTTGGAGGGTATAAGATGAGTGGTATTGGAAGAGAGAAGGGTATTTACAGCCTTCACAATTACTTACAGGTGAAGGCTGTCGTTACCGCTCTCAAAAATCCAGCATGGTTGTAATTATCTCTCTTTACTCCTCAAGCACCAATGAGAACAAGAATAACATATTCCCACTTTACCCTTTTCTTATAAGATATCATTTAGTCCCATACAATGATAATATCTGATTGGTTTGAGCTTGGTTCTAAAGGTCAAAAGTGTCTGAAGGTCTCAGGTTCAAATTCAAGAAGGAACAAAAATCCCCTTGTGGTTATGGAGGTTCAAATGCGGTGACTCCGGCAGGTGGTCATCTTGGGATTAGTTGGCTTGCATAGCGGGTCGGATTTTCAGGTTAATAAAAAAAGGTTAAGTTAATAGAATAATAAGTTTGATAATTTTGACTTAAAATTTTATTTAAAGAGTATTTTAAATATTTTAGAAATCTTATCTCTATTCGGTATAAACGTTAATTCCACTCTGATATCAATTATTGGAGTAATGAGTTTACTATTTATGAAGAGGATAATTAATCAAACGTATTTATGAGTTGTCTTTTTTATTATTGAATTTATTATTTTTTCTATTTATTTAATTAATATATAGCATAAAAATAAGAGGTTTATATTAAATCTTACGAATTTAAATAGAAAAATAAAGTTGTCATTTAATTAAACTCAAATTACAGATAGAAATTCAAATTTCATTTAATTTAGTTTGTAGCTTTATTATTATATTGATTCCATTTTTGGTTTATATGAATTATTGTTATTAAAATATACAACATAAACCTAATAACCAATAATGTACACACTCATAATGTGTATTTTTTATTTGTAATTTGATAATAAGATCATAAAAAATGTGATGTATTGTATTTTAATAAGTGACCGTTTTTTAAAATCTTTACTTTAAAATATGAGAATGGTACTTGTATAATGCAATTAGATACATCTCGATATTAATGTTTTGTTTTATATTTTTTTTGTCTCGGTCAATGTTATAATATGATCTTATGTAATTTTGAAAAAATGATAATTTTATATTTTTAAATAAAATATAAATATAAAGATATATTATTAAAAAATGTAAAAAGAATATTGATATTGGAACCAAACTTACTATTTAATTTTTTTTGAGTATTTCTTTAATTCATTTTTTGGTTTGATAATATAATTTTTATTAAGTATTTTGTTAGAACTTAATGATTATTCTAATTATATTTTAGATTTTTTATATTTAAAATGATATGTTTATCTTGTATTTGATTATGTTTATTTGCAGTTAGTTACAYGAATTCAAACATGAAGCTTTAATAAGTTGTATTTACGCACAATTTACTTATGATATTGAATTTTAAGTAATATGCATCAATAAACAATATTTCGTTCATAAAAAATGATTTTTGAGAATTTTTGTTAAATATTTTAAGAGTTCATTTAATAGGATTAAATTTTTGTTAACTTCACATCGGTTTGTCGTGTTTTTAAATGACGAGTAAACGAAAAAGTTCCACATCATTATATAAAACTTGAATTATTTTTTTATCTAAGTAAAAATTCCCTTGTCATGATTTATTTTTAAATGGTTTAGTTTTTAAACTATTTTTTTGAATGAAACAATTATTAAATTTTTACGATTTGAATGATTAAGACTATAATTTTTTTTTTAAATAAATAAACCATTGAACGGTTACTAATCGGTTAATATAATTTTTTTGGGTTAAAAGAATGTAGATAACCAAATTTTAAAAGTATCATGGTTTATTTATTAAAAAAATGTTCAAAGACTTAATCAATCAAAATGAGAAAATTTAATGATTTTTTTCATTCAACAAGAAAAGTTTAATGATTTTTTCAGACAAAAAATAGTTTAGAAACTTAATCATTTAAAATGAAAAAATTGTTGGGTTTTTCGTCCATATAATTTGGAAATTATGATTTTCATCTTTATAGTTTATAAATTTTATTGTTTTCATCCCTCAGACTAAATATGTCAAAAACCATCCAGTAACTTAGACGGTATTTTAATCTCTTTTTTTTGTTCTTGATTTATAAATATAATTTTCTATTTCTTTTTTGGTATTTTAGTCTTTTTTGATTTAATAAAATTAATTGAAAAAATATATTAATTTGTTATTGTTTATGATGCAATAATTAAATATATTTAATACAATCAATTTATTTATTTTACATTTTTTGTCATTATTACTTATAGGTTCTTTTGGTCATTGAAGAAAAAAGAAAAATTAAAATACTATTATGTGAGAGTTACTTAACGACTTGTACTTAAATGATTTGGTGCTAAAAATCGAACTAATAAGAAAAATCAATACTATAATGACAAGAAATATGAAAAAACAAAATGTATGAATAATATTTAATTATTTTATCATAAACAATAAGAAAACAATATAATTTTTTATGTATTATCTTTTTATCAAAAAAATATATAGTTTTATTAAAATCAAAAAGACTAAAATACCAAAAAGATATTTAATAGACCCAAAATAAAAAGACTAAAATACCCCCAAGTTAAATGGATGATTTTTTTTATAGATTTAGTCCGAGTGTCCAACCTGTCATTTGTACCCAAAATAAAAAAACTAAAATACCCCTAAGTTAAATGGATGATTTTTAATAGATTTAGTCCGAATGACAAAAGGAGAAATAGATTACGAATCATAAGATTCATTGTCCAACCTGTCATTTGTATCCAAAATAAAAAGACTAAAATACCCCTAAATTAAATGGATGATTTTTAATAGATTTAGTGACGAAAGGAGAAATAGATTATGAATCATAAGATTCATCGTCCAACCTATCAGAAGGCCAATCATAGAAGTTTATTCCTTGATTTAAAACCCAAAAAACAGTTATAAATAGTGCAAATAGCTAACACGGTAAAAATTTATAAGCTTGATTTAAAACCCAAGTTTTTATATCCCAAATAAAGACCATAAGGTCCAAAACACTTACGATGATGAAAGCGGAACACAAATGTAGACCACAATTCCATGTTATAGAGTTAAGTTAAAGATCAATGGCCAATGAGTTCAACCAACCTTGATTTATAGTTCAAGACCCACGATAATCATAGTTATTATACTCATTCGCTAGAAATTACACCATGTGGTCAATGACTAGTATCCGGCTCCAAGAGTCCGTACCAAATTTCCCTCGGTGACCCAATACCTATTTCTAGTTACGAATGGAAAGTCCATCCTATTTTTAAATAAAGACCGACTCTTGTGCAGATGGATCCATTTGCATTAGTCTAATATTTGTTACAATTAAAAAGTGGACAACTATAATCATACATATAATTCTCATCATTCAAACGTCCTCGAAAAATCGTTTTAACACAAGATTTACCAGATAGGACAAAGTCCTCGTAATTTTCAGTAAACTCTTTTCTTACCTAAACACAATATCACATTCATCATCTTTTCCAAAAGTTCACAAGTTCAAGAATAATCTTGATCTACAAGAAATAATACTTCTTTTTTAAAAGTGTATCCATTTTCCATGGAATACTTTCAAATATTTAAAAATCAAGGATAAACATAAAACACCTAAATCAAGTCCCACAATGACATGTATGTTCCTAAAACACATTTTTATAGCACATGTTCACTTGCAAAAAGTGCAAAAACCCTCAAATCTCCCAAAATTGGTCAAAATCCACAAATATGTAAAACACATTATGATGACTGTTTTAGGAGACTAAAATGAAGCATTTTGACATGTATAAATAAAGTTAGGATGAACTCACATTGCTTGATTTTGGTTTAAAAACCTAAATACCAAGAAAACCCTAGAAATGGTGGTGAGATCTTGAAGCTTGAACTCTAAGCTTGAATCCTTAGCTTTAATGATGGAAACCCTTTTGAAATCTATAAGGAAATGGCCTTTAATGCTTCTCAAAACTGAAATAAATGAGGTAGATGAAGAGAGAAGTGGAAGAGAGAGGCGTAGGAGAAATAAATGAAGTCTTTCACCAAAATCGGGCATTAAATTCTGAACTGGACGTAGCCTGTGATAACCGGGTATTCAGATATAAAAGTTGGGGTATTTTTTGAAAGGTGATGATAAGTGGAGGGATTTAAGTTGTGTATGTGCTTAAATGTTTAAAATAATCCCTACCACTTAAATGTTATTATATATGAGATATTTGCTTTATCTTATGGGAGAGTGTGATTAATTATTTTAAAAACCTCCACCACCCCTTATGGTTAAAGTAAAGTATTGGATAAGATAATTATCTTATCTCATTGATTTTGGTGGAGAAAAAGAAAAGTGGGCTTTTATGTGTGTGTTTTTTTGTGTAAAGTAAACAAGTCTGTAAGGGGAAGAAGAAGCCGATTCTGTGGTTTCTACTTGAACTTCTTGTTGTGATTAATTCATCTTCATCTACGTAAACATAAGGTGAGTTTAAATTATCAATTTTCCTTATTTGGTATTTGAAATTTGAACCGTATGGTTCTTACGTGGGGATGATGATAAAATTGTTTTTGGATGCTATTTTTAGCATGACTATGAGTTTTGATATGTTTATATAATATGTGGAAATAATGATGACATATCAAGGAGAGGTGTATATTGGGATAAGAGTGGCATATCAAGGAGAGATATATACTGAGATAAATGTGACATATCAAGGAGATGTGTATACTAGGATAAGGGTGGCATAATCATGTAACCGTGAAATCTGGGTTCTTGATGAGAAGTTGTTATCGCATCTTTGTGATGCGATGACCTTGAGTTATCGCATCTGTATGATGCGAGGACTTAGGATTGCGGCATCCTATTGATGCGATAAATTGTGGTTTTGATAAAGTAAACAGTTGTTGAGAAACTAGAGGGGCTTTGGTTGGTCTTCATGTTTAACCAGACAGCCTCTAGTTGTATTTAAAATCAAAAAAAATTCAAGTGTTTAACCATTTCTTGTCTCAGAAGCTTTGGATAGACAAACCAATGGCTCTAGTTGGTAAGACCAGAAGGCCTCTAATTGACCTTGCTTCTGGTTGGCCTTGTTGGCCTTACTTTTGGTTAGACATGTTCTGGTTGGTAAGACCAGAGGGGCTCTAGTCCTTAAGAACCAGAGGAGCTCTGGTTGGTCTTGTTCTATATGATCCAAGTAATTGAGGTTCTCGTACGAGTGTGTTGTGAGGACTTGAGTTTGTCTCACCAATATGATGCGAGAAAATTGTATACATTTCTATATGATGTGATAAGTTTTACCCATGAGATATTTTTCAAGATATTGGGCATTTGAATAACTTTGAACTCAAGGTCTTCAGACTTCGTCTTCAGAATTTACATTTAGGCGCTCTTTGGGTCTTTTCTTGAAATAACTTTTAAGAATAACCTTTCAGACTTATACTTGTATGCCTGAAAAAACTCACCCAAACTCTGAAGTCTTCTTTTTCAGATCTCTGAAGATAAGTCCGTAGACTTTCATACTTGGCCCAAATTGCTATAATAAAACTTTCATGATATTTAGGACAATTTTGGTCCTAACAATTAGTATTACAAATATAGATTTATAAACTTGATTTGGTGATTTTCATCTTGTAATTGTATAAAGAGGATTTCTCACTAGACCTCAAGGTCTAACCCTCATTTTGTGTTTCAAAAATATGCATTACAGGTCGGGCCCAATCACAGAGCAAGGGGAATGAGATATTATGAAGTGTTATATTATGCTTACCTAGAATTTCGGGGCTAGCATAATCTTCTTTTGTATCTGAATGCTTGATATGTATTTATACATTGTATAGTGACTTAGTGGAAAAAGTTGTTAGCTATTTGTTAATATAGCTTTTGTACATTTGTGACCGAATGTGTGAATTTGTATTTCTTGATATTTGAAATACATGGTTATATGCAAATGTGGATCTTGATGTGTTAAATAGCCATGACTGAGCCCACTATCAAAGTCATGACGCTAGTCGCCTATGTCATTTTGGCCCAAACTCTAGTGAGTTACGCGGCTCTACTCACGGCCTAATCTCATGACTAGCCGCAGGATTTTCTATTTGGCCTACTAAGTCTAAATTTTTTGTCCTCAAAACCCATACACAAACATGAGGTTATTAACATCACATAATGAATAGGTTTATGATGGACATTGCAGTTTCTACTCAAACGTTAAACTATCATTGGAGTAGATAATACCAAGTTAAATCAAACATATGCATATAGTACTACTACTTATGAGAAGGTTATATATTTGGGGTATTATCAAATTAAATCATCAAATAAAGATAACTGAATGCAACCAAATAGCTGTTTTCTAGTTACAAATACAATATATCTATAAATAAACCAGTTATGTTTTAATTTAAGTCGGGTTCACGAAGAACACTGGCCATAATGCTTAAATGGATATGTATGATTTAGAGTGAAAATAACTAACATCAATGTATTTTACTAGACCATCAGTCAAACTGGAAGATTCCATACCATTTAACATATTCCATTCCAACCAAAAGCGTGGTAAAATTCCATTCTGATTCCTTCAAAGTCAAACTTCTTTGACATATTCCATTTCTTCAGAAAATATTTTGTGAACCAAACGCCCGCTAAGTGTGAGCAAATTCGAGATTTTCACATACCTAATGTATAAGAAGTTCAAAGTGTGAGGTGAGAGAAGGGGATGAAAATAATACTTGTACAAGCAACGTTATGTTACTAATAGAAAGGAAGACAGGTTTAAAAGGGTTGAGATGTTTTTTTTGGGGGGGGGGGGWAACAAAATTGATTTTTATTTTTGTGTAAGATTTCTTGTTTTCCACCTTGTTTTCTAAAACTACATGTCATTTTAATTGACCAGTCAGTGGATGTGTAGGTAAACCACATACCTAAATTTTGAAGTACTAAAATAAAACCACAAGGGTGGTATCTGATTGGTTTGAGCTTGACTCCAAATGTCAAAGGTATCAGAATGTCCTAAGTTCAAATCCAAGTAGGAATAAAAATCCCCTTGTGGTTACGAAGGTTCAAATGCAGTGACTCCGGGCTATCTGCAAAACAAGTGGTCGTCCTGAGATTAGTCGGCTCGCATAGCAGGTTGGATATCCAGGTTAATGAAAAAAAAAGATACTAAAATAAAAGCTTTAAAGTACATTCCATTCTCATGCAATTTGTGTTAAATTATAAACAAAGTATAGGGTTTGGTTTAGCATTTCATATTTCTTCAGGGCCTATTAAGTAATCTTCTAAAAGATCAGGGTTTTCTGAAACACCGGCTTAAATTTGCTGATCTGCTCTATTCATAATGAAACCCTAGGTTCTTGATATTGTTTCAGTCTATCCTTCATCCATCGGAACTTCTTTTGGCTCCTCGTAAGTTAATCATCACGATTTTTTGTTCTTCAATTTCTATTCGATGATTATTTAATCGAGTTATTAAGCATAAATTATGGCTGGAAATTTGTGATGCTTGTCTTAAATCTTAAGTCGTATTTCTGTTGTCTTTTGCCATCAACAACAGGTGCTTGTAAGTGAAGGAAGAATGGCGACAACCGAACAACCCAAGGTTGCTACTGAAGAAGCTAAGATTGATCTGTTTGAGGACGACGATGAGTTTGAAGAGTTTGAAATCGATCATGGTAAGCTCTCGTCCCTACCTTGGACAACAATTTTCCGAGTTTCCATACAAATTCATTCTTGTTTTTCATTCTAACGTAAGCCTCAAGTTAAAAGACGTACTCGTTTGTAAGTCGAAAGAAGTTAAAACAGGGGTAGCTGCTTTTCTTAAATTCCTGTTTGAAAGTGACTGGTTAATTCTTCAGTCTTCTTGCTTGATTAGGGAGATTTCTAGTTCTTGCAAGTCATTCATATGAATTTTTGTGATCGCAGTAGATAGAAGCCTCCTTTTGAAAATCGGCCTTACTATGAAATCAACTTCCATTTGTGGAATTGGAAACTAAGTTGGAGTTGTTCATCAGGACAATGAATATTTGGCTACCAATGTCTGGACTTTCAGGGCAGCTGCATTAGGAGTAGCAGTAGTGATATATTTTATTTCACTGATTAACTAGTAGTGGAACTCCATATATCACTTAGGAGAAGTTTTGATTTCGATCTTTGTTGTAAGCTACCTCGGAGATGACCTCATGTGATAGGATGAAGCTTAATAGGTACTGTTAACGAGCTTAGGCTCAGTTTCGGCTTAATGCAAAGGTCATTGGAGAAGCTGAAATGAGAAGTCAGAAAATTTGAGCTCTTTGTAGTGAATCATTTGGTTGATATGAGACTGTGGAATCACTGATTAGGCTTTGATAACTAAAAGGAAGAGACTCTGAGAAATTCTATATGCTCCCTAGGAAGGAACCAGTTATAATTCCATAGGAGTGAACAGGAATGATGTCTTACTTCCTAACTTTACCAAGTACCATGTCACTTAAACAGTTCATAGGTACTGTGTGTAGAATCACCTGAATAGGGAATACTATCCTACATGCAGTGATACATTTGTATTTGTTGTGAATCTCAAATTTTAGGCTAGATTTTTTCTTTTATCGATTATTTGTATCTTCATTACATTGAGCCATTGAGGGGAAGAAATATTGATGCCTCTGAACAAACTGTAGCAAACCAGGCTTCTATCATATCCTATATCATAGATAACTTGCATGCTGCTTTTGATCGTTGATCCTCTTCAGCTCTAAACTTAAATCACTTGTTAACCTAGAAGTGTAAATGGCCTGTTTTTGTAACCAGACCTTGACTATGGGACAACGATGCCACATTTTGTTTCTTCTGACGTATTTGGGCCATCTTTCCTGAAATCGAATACATAATGAAATGCACTGTCCGGGTTTCTGTTTTGGTCCATCGTGGTAGACTCCCTATGCTAGCTAGCAACCAAAACATCAACCAATTTAGCTGCATAGGTCTATCCTTTGCCAATCATACATGGTGTGTGATTGCTTGTTAACATTGAAGCTTCTATGCTGTCCATCCTGGTCCATGAAGAGTTTTTATCTGGCATAAAATCACTTAAGCTGTTTAAGTACTTGTAGTTAAAAATTGATGGAGCTGAACAAAATCACTTCAAAGTGGAAAGAAACTAGGTGGGCAGATTCTTGTTTTTGGCTGCTATTAAACAAGCCTTTGGGTCGGTACGGGTGTGTTTGGTACGCTGATGGGACTGGACGGGTAATCATTGAGGTATAATTGTGGATGGTCTTAGATTTTTAATTTCACACGAGTGGTGCTTTAGCAATTTTGTTCCTCAATTTTTGTTAGCATCATTCAATCTCTTTTGTGACATCATGTGTTGATTCATCAATCTCTTTTCTGTGCATATTTTCTAAATCATATGTATGATGATGATGGAACTGGCACAGAGTGGGATGTGAAGGAAGAAGGAAAGGAAGTAAGTCAACAATGGGAAGATGATTGGGATGATGATGATGTGAATGATGACTTCTCTCTTCAACTGAGGAGGGAACTGGAAATCAACACTGAGAAGAAGTGAATGAACTCCATTTGCAAGTGATTGGTATAAATTCTGGACTTGTGAATTTGTGGATCTCATCATCATATGCACCTTTGATTTTGCTTTCACCAAATCAAGAATTTGAATTGAAATCCTTTTCGGTTCCGTGATTTTGCTTCTTTTTGTCATGTTATATCATCACAATAAAATGAAACCATTTTTCACACAATATTAGTTTGTTTTCAAAAAATAAGAAAAATAAGAACAAGTGAGATAGGAACATTTACCCGGTAAGCGCTAAACAAGTAGTCGTCATCTTCACTCACCTGGTAAGACTTTTGGCGCTGTCAAGCGGTCTTTTCAGGTAAGATTCTCGATTCTTGTCATATTAATCTGGTAGGGTAAAATAAATTATTACGGGTTTTCATTTGTATATCATCAAAATCAGGAAATTTTGAAAACCATATCTAGGTTTTTGAATATGTGAATTTGGCTTTTTAACGTAAACAGGAAAATGAAAATCAGAAAATGTTATTTGGAGGGTGTACAAATAGACGGTGAACATTCTGAAACGTGTTACATACATCTTTATAACGTATAAAACGGGTTAATGTGGTAAAATAATGAAAAATGTCTAAAAAGACTAACAGACTTATATTTTGAATAATCGAATCCTTGGACATTTTTTTAGAATAACTAAATCCTTACATTTCTAAGACGAAATCAATTGTATATTTTCATTAATTTATTTTTTTAAAAAAAACTACATACAAATGTTGTGTCAAAATATATCAAAATTTACACTAAAATATAATATACCACAAGTAATTATATTATATTCTGGAGAAGGTTGTGTGTGAGATTTTGGGTTTTTCAACACTTGGTGCCTCTCAAACTCGTGTTAGAAACAAGCGACGTCTAATAGCACGAGCTAACGATAACCATGAACCACATTGCCAAAGAAAAGGTTGATTCGTATATATAACTTGATTTTACTTCCTCTATTTTTTTTTTAATAATATTGGGTCAGATGACTCGTAAATAGATGAAGTTGCATGTATCAACATGTAATTTGTGTACTAATTCGTTCTAGAAAGGGGCCTTACGATGAGAAAAACTGAAATCTGTATATACTTGTAAAATCAAATATGAAATTTGATACACTAGCAAAATCGAATGAGTTGCAAAATCAACAGAAATTGAACGGAGTTGCAAAAGCGAACTTAATCATTCAAAATCAGAAAATTCTTTCAATTTTTCTAAATTCTTATTCTATAAATAGATAAGATCAATAATCATATCTCCATTTCTTTTTAAATCAACAAAACAAATAAGACCGTGATGTAGCTTTTGCTTATATTCTAGCGTTAAACCATTTCACAGACAACATGAACAAATAATATTATAACCAAATTACGTGTATAACAAAACACTTTGATCTTCAACAAACCCAGTTAAAATTCCTAAATTCCCATTTTACAATCGACGTTAGAAACTCAAACGCGTTTCGTTTCTCACTAAACCACTTAGACCAAAAAACCGACACACAAATCAGCTCTTTTACGAAACAATATACACGAACTAAGGAACTCTAATGTCAAACACCGTAACTTTCGAGTCAAATCAAATTATACAAGAAATATATGGAACACCCACAAAAATCCTTATCTCAACTCCAAACCAACTTCACTAGAAAAACTAGTTTCCCCCCTTCCCATATCCACAAAAGCCCTACAAATTGGACAAGCACCAGTCTTGATGAGCCATGAATCTATGCAATCACCATGAAAACTGTGATTACAATTTGGCAAAACCTTGCATTTTTCTCCTGTTTTGAACCTTTCTAAACACACCACACATTCAAGTGATGAGCTCATAACCATGGGTTCTTGTGCTTCCAAACTGAAGTCATAAGATGGCAGATTCTTGATGTCTTCTTGAGACAAACTCCCACTTCTGCTGATGGTACCACTTCTGTGCACCAAAGTACTAGTGTTCATGCTGCCAAATGTCCTCCCAACTATGCACAAATGAATCACCACAAAAAGAGAGATACCCACAACTAATAAAACAGCTGAGATCACAATTTCAATCACCATTTTTTTGCACCTTTTTGTTGCCGGTTCTTGAAAGATGATTAAAGCATCAGCTGGAGAAGAAAGGTGTGTTTAAATATAAGTGTGCAAAGAGAGGGTCTTGAGAAGGTTGGTGGGGAAAAATATTAATATCCAAACACATGCCAATAAAAAAAAAACTTAAAACCATCCATAAGGGCGGTGTCGGATTGGTTTGAACTTGCCTCCAAAGGTTAAAAGCATCGGGAGGTCTCAGGTTCAAATCTAAGGAGGAATAAAAATCCCCTTGTGGCCATAGAGGTTCAAATGCGGTGACTCTATGTTATTTGCAAAAAAGGTGGTCGTCTTGGGATTAGTCGACTCGCATAGCGGGTTGAATATCCAGATTAATAAATAAATAAATAAAAACTTAAAACCTGAATTTTTAATATTAATATGATTTTTAAGCACTCATATATCAAATTCAGATGGGTTATAATATTTTAAGTAAAATATTAAAATTGTTTTTATGTATTTAGAAAAGAATTTCAAGAATATATATATCATGGTGGTTAGCCTTTAATTTGTTTATTTCTGACTAATTTTTATTGATTTAATAATACAAGAATAGTATTTTGTCATCATTACCATTATATTAATATTAATATTAATAATGATAATTATAATAATATAACTATTAAGAATCAATATTAGATCGTAAACGGCAATGCTTAAGGTTTTAAATAAAACCATATTCATCTGGTTTTTCGAGCATTATTAGCATTTTTTGATGTAATAAAAGCCACCAAAAATCAATTAGCGGTCAAATTATCATAAACGAATTTGTTTGATCTGGTGGCTAAATAAAATCAAGATTTTATTACGCGATTATTTTGGTATTTCAGATATTAATTATTATTGTTTTTTCTTTGTTTAAGGAAAATTTTAAACTTTAACTAAAATTATTTTCCGAATTTTGAGTTATAAAATACATGTAAATTCGGAAATGTACGAAGATAATATACTTTTTCTAAAAGTTGTAAATTATTGAAAACCTGAAAAATAATATAAATTTGACTGAAATGCATGGAAAAAACCCCCCCGAAAATATACTGAATGGAAGCTCTAAATTTAGCAGTAACCAACATACTTGGATGGTAATGCATGAATAACTGGAAATATGGATCAGTGAGCAAAACTCGTACAACAAATACGTAGAGACTAGAAACTGGAGTATACGAAAAACATGTTAGATCAAGAATTGTGATGGAAGCAAAGGGGGAGTGTTCTTCACTTTCTAATTAAAGACTCGGTGTAATGTAGAACTCGTGATTATAAATACCTCATCACGTAATCGTTCATAATCAAATCAATTTGTTTTCCAATAAACATCATTCATTGTTCTCCAAATAAACCATTTTCATATCCACTTTTGATTTGCGGATCTTCTGAATTTAATTTCCTCATTTTTGTCTACTACTTGATTATCTGTTTCCGCTCTTCGTGTTTTTTCTCTCGTTTGCTGCTTGAAAGATAATAAAATGGATACTGCTACTTTAAGAATCCTCGTAGGAGTGATCGGTTCGTTTCCTCCAAAAATGTTTCGTTCTGATTTTGTTGTTTTTTTCACGACAGAAGTCTGTCATAACAAACTTGAGATTTTGAAAAGTGTATTTGATATTAAAAAAAAAAAAAAAAACATATCTTTCATATGTAGAAATTTATTTCATATAATGAACACATTTCCCGTTTAGGTCACATTATTTCACCATCGATTGATCAACAAAAATATATTTTTTCACACTCTCATACAAGACACGAGAAATATCAGTTTTTTGTATACTGGGGTCTTAATAATTTGTTTATTATACTGTAAAAACCATAAGTTGTCAGAATTTGTTATTTTAGCTTTATAAATCCTTAATTTTTGTTTAACTTTTTTTTATCTCGGGTTTGCAATGCAGGAAACATTATATCGGGCATTCTCTTTCTCTCCCCTGTGTAATTTCTCTTTTCCTTCTTATCACCACTTTAACATGCTTAATTAACATTCTAATTATTTTTAAGTCTGTGAAAAATATATTTTTTATATCCTCCCAAAAAAAACCTGTAAAAGTTCTATTTCAGTACACAGACTTTTAATTCATGAAACTTTCATATAATTTACTGAAAAAACTACAGGCCAACATTTATGAAGATTATCAAGGCAAAATCAGTTCAAGCTTTCAAACCAGATCCATATGTTGCCACGATTCTCAATTGTGCTATGTGGGCGTTCTATGGTCTCCCAATCGTCCATCCCGACAGTCTTCTAGTCATCACAATCAATGGTGCTGGATTCGCCATTGAATGCGTTTATGTCACCATCTTCTTCATCTACTCTTCATGGGGTGGCCGTGTATGCACACAATCACTCACCTATATCTGACATTAATTTATTTTTCAAAAAAAAAAATATATATGTCTGATTTCAAATTTTTCACAATCTTACAAAATGCAGAAGAAGATCATCATCGTCCTCATCATTGAAGCAATTTTCGTAGCTGTGATTGTCGTAGTTACTTTGACATTCTTCCACACCTATGCCTCAAGATCTATGATCGTCGGATTAATTTGCATAGTTTTCAACATCCTCATGTATGCATCTCCATTGACCGTCATGGTAAGTATTACCCTTTTTTTATTCTTTTTTCGGATTATTGTTGTCAATCATACATATTATTTAAATACGACGAACTGGGAAACAGAAAATGGTGATCAAGACAAAAAGCGTCAAGTACATGCCACTTCCCTTGGCTGTTGCTAGCTTCTTGAACGGAATTGTGTGGGTTATCTATGCTCTCCTCCAATTCGATCCCTACATCTTGGTAACTTACAATCGTTTCATATCCACATATTTACATTTCTTTTTAATTTTATGACATTATGCACGTCTTATTTCTTGAAACTTCCTCACACGAACAGGTTCCAAATGCATTGGGAACAATCTCAGCAATTATTCAACTCGTGTTGTATGCCACCTACTACAGCACCACCAACTGGGACGAAGATGAACCCAGTGAGGTTCAAATGTCCGCATCCACCAATGCCTAAGCATCAAGGACGAGCATTTACAATAATAACCATCAGTGTATCTGTCTGCCACATGCTCTTGTATGCATGCTTGGGTAGCTTTTCGGTTTATGTTACTTAAGACATAAGATGTAGGGTGAGACTGAGAATCGTTGTAATTGTGCACTTGTTTTTGTATCCCCGCCCTACACATTTTGTTCACAGGGTTTTTCGAGATTGAGAATTCATGTTCTAGAAGGATAGAAGATCGATTGATATGAAATAAAAGAATTTGTTTGGTTTTATTGTCGATTATGAGTTTAAGCCTTTACTTTTTGGCTTTCTTTACAAAACATTTATTCAAATACTTTTTTACACTTGAAACTTCATAGCAAAATACTGTTGAGGTAACCTTCACAGTGTTTTTCTTGTGAAGGTTCAATTTATTTTTATCTTCATAGTATTTTACTGTAAAGTTTCAAATGTAAAAATATGGTCTCACGAAAACAATATGGTTTTGAGTGAACCCAAGATATAAGATGTATATGTATGTATATATATAATTTTGATTCATGTTAATAATAATCCATGTAAATTGGTAGAAGGGTAAAAATCCAAAAACATTCTTTTTTAGTAAATTTCCCTTAAAAAGGATGGTTTTTTTTTAACTTTATATAAATTCATGATATATAACAGTTATAAAAGTTAAGGACATTCTTTTTTAAAACCCATGAAATTATGATAACCTTGAAACTTGTCCATCATGTGTAATTTCATATGATATTTTTTTCCATCTAAAACTAGAATTTAAAATATTGATTAACATATATTTGTTTCACAATGTCTCTGCTTCACAATGTGAAACTTTTTGGAGTGTTTGTGAAACATAAAATGCACGCATATTGTGAACTGAGTACATATGAAACAAATATATGTAAATCAGTACATTAACTATATCTAGATAAAAAAAAATCATATGAAATAACACATGAGACACAAATTCTCAAGATTATCACAGTTTTTATAGGTGTTCCAGCTCCTAAAAGTTAAATTCACAAAAAAGATATAACTAATTTTTGGAAATGAATGAACTAAGGGGCCGTTTACCAAACACTTATCCGGTAAGTGCTTACCGGTAAAATTTAACACTATTAATTACTTACCGGTAAGATTTTAATCCATCAAAACGACATTGTATGCAACAATTCACCCGGTAAGCACTTATCGTGTAAGAGTCGTCGTCCTCACTTACCAGGTAAGACTCATGGTCCTTCTCTCACCCTTACCGGGAAAGATTCTTAGTCCTTACCATATTCATCCGGTGAGGTAATCTGACTTGGTAAGTGCTTACTCGAGTAAGTGTTTGGTAAACGGCCCCTAAGATTATAACATATAATGTAATATGATTTAATTAAGAGAGTTATTATTTTATGTTTTATGTTTTATCATTTGTTTAGCTATAATAGAGATGTAAATAAAGCAAAAATGAATAAAATATCTATTAATATTATCAAATGAGAACAAAATATGCAAATCTTATATCAATGCAATTAAATAAATTCCCTACTAACCTATTAATTATATTTATATCTAAATATATTTATTTAAAACCCCCATAAATATCAAAGAAATGTGAAAAACAACCATTAGGGTGCGTTTGGTGCGCAGACAGGACAGGACAGGATAGGATAGGACAGAACAGGACAAGACAATACAGGACATGACAGTTGTTCAACGTTTGGTAAGACAGGACAGGACATGACAGAACTGATTAAAATGACTAATTTACCCCTAACGTTATTTTGCTTCTGTACTAAGTTAAAACATATGCAAAACAGTTTCCCAAGAACTTGTTACTGTCCTTAGCTCGACAGAACTGATGGGTATTCAAGACGGTCCATGAATCCAACAAAAGCTTCATAACTTGACCTAATTCGAAACACAAAAGCACAAAATAGAGGCAAATAACAAACATTCTATATTTTTATCCAATTCATATGCTAATGATCAAGAGATGCGAATCGGAAACTATGGCAACGTCTCAAAAACGAAGAACACAGGCAAGCATCACTATGAAGTAGAAAACAGCAAAATCGAAATCGAAAAGATGCTAATCCAAATAACTCATAGAACATCATAAAAAAACGAACATTAAACATCATCGAAACGTATTGGCATCAGAACAGTTCACATATCGATTAAAACGAAAAACACAATCGAAATCGAAGAACCCATTGCCCTTGCTGTTTCAGATATAGTTATGCAAATAGAAGTAGAAAACAGCAAAATCGAAAGTTCAGGCCGATTGGTGCTGTCGATTACCTGAGAGTATGGAGAAAGGAGAAAAGTCGAACGACTGGTGCTGTCGATTTGTGAAGGGGAACGACTCTGTCCAGGCCGCCGGCCGCCGATTGATGAAGGATACGGTGGAAGATGGAGGCGACGATGTGAAGATGGAGGCGAGTCAGGCGACGATGTGAAGATGGAGGGTAGAGAGGTCAAATGTTCCTTGTTCTAGTTAGTTCCATGGGGGGAAGGGTGGACAACCGTGTCCTACCCGTGTCTTACCTTGTTCTAGTTAGTCCTACATAAAACCACACCAAACATGGGACAAATGTGTTTTGTCCAGTCCTGTCCCACCCTGTTCTGCTTACCAAACGCACCCTTACTGGACAAAATTTCATGATATGTAACACCCTAAGATCATATTTGAATATAAACATATATTTTCATATATCATGAAATATAATTTACACAACTCGCTGTTTAAACAACTATTCAGAGTTCCTAGAGCTCCTTGTAAGGCTTAACCCCTCACGTGCGAAATTATAGAAGATCCCCTTTAAGATCAAACAATTCCATACACTAACTATAAAGGCTACATTACAATTAGCTACCAAATTTTTTCATAAAATCTTTGTACAACACTTGAATACATAACAAGTATTCTAATACAAAAGAATAACATGTTAGTCTATTCTTCCATGCAAGTATAAATACAACACTTCACAATTTCTCTTTTCCCTTGTCATTTGGTTGAGTCTGACTTGTAATGCACATTTTTAAAACGTAAAATGAGGGTTAGACCTTGAGATCTAGTGAAAAATCAATTTGATGCTATTGCAGGGTGAATAATCACCAAATCACATTCATGAACTCATATTTATAATAATAACAAATACACATCATTTTAATATAACGAACCTCATTTATCGCATCAAAATAGCCAAATAACTAGATAAATACATTCTGAGTGAACATGTCGCATCATATAGATGAATGTATAATTTTCTCGCATCACATGGTTGAGACAACCTCATCTCCTTGCAACCCTCATTTCATCGCATCATACTAGTGCGATGAACCCAACTTGTCGCATCACACGGTGTGATAAGTCAACTTGTCGCATCCTTCCTCGCATCATATAGGTGCGATAAACACTTCTTATTGCATCAATAGAATGCGAAAACTCTAAGTTATCGCATCACACAGATGCGACAACTTCCAGTCATCGCATCATAAGGATGCGATAATAATGAATGTTTTGATCAAAAACCCATATTTTATAACTCATGATTTTGCCACCCTTATCCTGGTATATATCGCTCATTGATGTCACCCTTATCCAGTATACACCTCTTCTTGATATGTCAGCCTTATAACCAAAATATACATTTCATTGATATGTCACCCTTATTCCAACACATGATATAAACATTTCAAAGTCTCACAATTATGGCATCCAAAACAGTTGTATAACAACTATTCATATAAAGAATCATATGGTTCTACATCAAATTTCCAAATAAGGAAAGTTTGTAAAATTAAACCCACCTTATATAATCTACGTAGAAGAAGATATGAAGATCAATGACAATAAATCCAGGTAACAACACATAATCAATTTCTTCTTATTCTCTTTTTTGCTTCTGTTTCCTTCGGACTCCAGAAAACACACACACATAAACCTTTTTCACCAAATTTCCTTTTAAATCTCATATCATCCCAATGAGTTAAATAAATTTATCTCATATTATCATGTAATAAAACAAAGAGGCGGTGAGTTAATTTTAAATGATTTTAAGCATAATAACAAATTTAACCCCTCAACTTATCATCACTTCTCAAAAGTAACCACGAGCTTTATGATCAATTAACCGGTTATCATATTATCCTCCTCTCAGAAGAATTTTGTCTAGGAATTCATTCAATCAAATAACTGAGGATATTTTGATCTCATTTTCGATTCCAGCTCATAATGTAGCTTCTAAACCCTTATGAAAACGCCACTGTACTTTCACTAGACTGATTTCTATATTTCTCAAAACTTTTGTCTTCGGATCAGTGACGATCTCAGGGGTATCCATGAAGTTCAGCTTACTATCAACTTATACCTCAAGTATTGATATTGTCAAATTCGGATCGGCTAAACACTTTCGCAGGTTTGCATGGTTTTTATGAATCGGACGGTTTGTAATATAACCCCTCTCTCTCTCTCTCTCTCTCTCTCTATATATATATATATATATATATATAGGGTCGGATTCACGTGAGACCAAAGGTTTTTCGTGAGACCCGTAAGACCAGTTTATGTTTATTGATCAATTTTATAAGCTAATGGTCTAAATATGTACGGTGACAATTTTGTGATTATTGAGAAGTCTCGTGGCAATTTTGTGATTATGAATGTACAGATTGTAGATCTAATCCAAGGGTTGAGAACTAATCTTACAGGCCTCACGAAAAACCTTTGGTCTCACATGATCCCAAGTCTCTCTCTCTCTCTCTCTCTCTCTCTCTCTCTATATATATATATATATATATATATAAGGACACGTTCAAATGAAAAGCGTGCATTTCTAAGAAACCGTGTAAACAAATTTCGACTAATAGGAAAATTTCATTTTTTTCTAATTAAATTTAATCAATAAGGGTATTTAGGTAATTTACAATATTTTCTATTAAATATGAAAGTTATTAATAAATCTTAATTAAGGAAACGTAACAAAGGAAATTGTATAAATGGTAACATTTAAATATTTAATTATATTATAATATTAAAAATTTGAATTTGATATATTGTTATGAGATTGAATCTGCAAACGGGTCTTGAAGATTGAATTACATTATGGAATGAAATCGTAAATTATGGTTCAAATTAAAAAAATAATGTTAATGAAACATGTTTCATGAAGGTGAAACTGGTTCATGTTATAATTGATTCATGAGTAATATGAAATCGTTTCATGGTGAACCACGTTTCAGTGATGGTGTAGTTGATTCGTTTAGTAGAAAAAAATGGAACATGAAACGGGTGCATAATTTATTTGGTTCGTTATGAAATAATTGCATGATGAAACAGGTACATGATGAATCTGCTTCGTGATATTGAAGATTGTAATATGCTCCAGAATCTTGAAGATTGTAAGGAGTAAAGAAAAGAATGCATCAAATCATGAGTGAAATAAAAAAATTAATTTACATGAAACAAGTTTCATGAAGGTGAAACTGGTTCATGGCGTAATTGAACAATGAGTGGTGAACTGTTTTCATGGTGAAACCCGTTTCAGTGATGGTGTAGGTGATCCATTCAGTAGATAAAATGAAAAATGAAACGGGTGCATAATGTAGGTGGTTCGATGAAATAATTGTAAGATGAAAAATAAATTAGTTTCATTAATAATAATAAATGTTAACGTAAAAATAATAAATTACTTTACAAAAAATAGATTAGTTTCATTAATAATATGATATACATGATATAGTTTCCTTGAATAAATGAATATTTGGTTTTACCTTTTTTGCCCTTATCAGTATTATAAAATGTATTTTCAATTTTTTTTATTTTTAATTTCTTTAAATAACCTTGATTAATATAAACCATTGATCAAGAAAATGGATGGGTAAAATTGGTTTACACAAATGGAGACAGTTTTTATTTGATCACTCCTTTCTATATATATATATATATATATATATATATATATATATATATATTTATAAGATCAATGGTATTTTATAGTTTTTAAATGACGTTTCTTTAAATAAGGATTTTTTTTTTTAACTTTAATATGTTATTGTTTTTGGAAGAGAGAATGAAATGAGTTGTGATTTGGTGGGGTCAAATATAAGTGTGTCTACAATCACATGAAATGAAAAACATAAAGCTTTAATTACATCCTTCACAGTCTACAAACATCAAGCATCTAACATTTTCCCAGTTTCAGGAATCTATTAAATATTTCTTACTTCTTTGCAAAAGCGGGTCGGATCTTTGGACATTCAAATATTAATCCAAGTTTTACGGCCCGCGGTGCTTACGGAAGCAGAGACAACCCTGAGCTTCATCACCTGGGATCATACCTCCGCCTTTCGATGTATCAATCGCCTCCAACATGCTCACAACCTCCTCCATTTCTGGTCGCTTGTCGGGGTTCGCGTCCCAGCATCGCTTCATTACGTTCGCAAGAGAACTTGGGCAACATCTTGGCATATCCGGCCTTAGATTCTGCACGTTTTTACCACTTTTAGACCAACTAAACCACCCACAAATCGTAAATAACCAACTACTCGTGAATAATTCCTGCTCAATGAATATTATTTATCATGCATTTTCATTTTCAATATTTATTATAATATTCATCATGAATAATTCATGAAGCGCTGATCTTTATGTATGCTACAACGAACAAAAACTTGTTTCCTCTTTGTCCACCAATCACATATCATATTTTTTTTATTGAAAAGAGAGAATCAAAATATTAATAAAATAATATAATGATATGTATTTACATGATTGGCCGAGATTGTACCTGGCGAACGACAGCAGAAGTTACTTCTGAAAAACTAAGGTCCGGGTACGGCATATCACAACAATATATTTCCCACAAACAGATGCCAAAACTGTACACGTCGCATTTCCTATTATACGGATTGCCATTCAGGACCTGGAATTTGTTTACAAAACACGTGCTACATCCGATTAACGGTCCATGATGACATAAAACAAAAAAGATGCTGATACGGGGTATGACTTTTTGACTTCATATAAGATTTGGGAGCCATACCTCGGGGGCCATATAGCCAAGGGTCCCAGTTTCGCCAGTCATGTCATTTGGGTTGGAGGCTTCAACACGAGCAACCCCAAAATCAGCGATTTTAACAGTTCTGGTTTTGTCCAACAACATATTTTCGGTCTTCACGTCTCTATGTACGATCTTTTGAGAGTGCAGGTAACTTAACCTAGTAAAAAGTCAATAATTAAAGATGCAATCTTTTGAGTATTACAGCACTTAAAGATAAAGTCCGTTTAGCGGAGTCTAATTTTCAACTTAAAGTGACATAAAATTCTTCGAGTATTAGTGAAAATTGTGATGCCCACATTAATACTGTATAACAACGCTATAAATCGGACGTTTTTGTATTGAATTAAAAAGCCAATAGTACAAATTAGAACATAAAGATTTAGGAGGGCATACCCTCTTGCAAGATCGAGTGCCATTTGGACAACTACTTTAAAAGCCAGCTTCTTTCTGCGGTTCTTTATGAGGTAAGACTTCAAATTACCCCCGGGAAGATACTCTACCACAACACAACAAATGTTGCTTGGCATCCCAATTTGACCACTTTCGGTTTGTATCTGGAGCTCTGACGAACCCATTGTTGCCCCTATGAACTGCATTACACCATTGTTTCTTATAGTTAGCATCAGCAAGTATTCACTATATCCAACTTCTACTAAAGCTATTCCCATCATTGGCCATTATGAATTCAAAATTCATTTAACTGTTCGTTTCAACTCCCCTAGACTCAACCATCATTTCTATCGACTTTATGGCAGTTTGCTTTTTGGTTTTATCAGAATCTCTGTTAACTAGATGTCGATTTAAATTTCTTTTTTGGGCATACTTTCTATGTTTGGGTGAGATGGAAGGTAAAGCAGAGGGAGGCCTAAGTGTTCGGGTGGTCAACCATAAGTCCATAATTGCTCTTGACTTCTTGTTGGTTTTACCAGAACTTCTGTCGACGTTATGCCAGTTGAATTTCTAGTTTGGGCATACTTACTTTGTGGGAAGGTAAAAGAGAGGAAGGCCTAGGTTGTTTGGGTTTGAGCACCGTAGACACTCGGGTAATCATGATACATTCTTGCCAACTTCCGCTACATTGTGGATTTGACTCCCATATTCTGGATTATGACCAAGAATAGAAATATAAATGATCTATAAAATCCTTAGAATGAGGCATTGTAAAGCAAAATCTAATCTTAAACTATTTGGCGTCCTACACGCGCCTATTATGTTTCCTTATAACATTTTGTATACAAGTTAAATTACATTGTTACTTTCTTCCATATCGACTATATCTTTAAACAGCAAGAGACCTCCCAAGCAACCAGAAAAGGTTGTGAAAGTCATGGTGTGTATCAGATAGACCACCACTTTCCTTCTATTGAATAGACTGGGAGAAGAGTATATGAGATCTACACATACTCGTGTTTCTTTTCTTTTCCCCAAAAATAACAATCAAACCAAACGGGCCTGGTATATCCCACTTGGAGGCGGGGTATGGAGAGGGTAAGATGTAAGCAGACCTGACCTCTTAAAACCCCCGGCTTATGGAAAAGATAAAAGCATGTAAGCTTAAATTTTGAAAAGCTTGATAATAAGATTTAAGTGATAGTACTTGCATGTCTTTTTATCTAGAGTTCCCACTGCTACATTTTTGGAGGGTAACAAGATTTTCTCAAGCATGTTTTGGTATTAGATACGTCATACATAGGTGGCATTTATGTTATGCCTTTTTAGGATCCTCTAAATAGACATATCGACCCACTTTGTCGTGTATGCTGCAAATACGATCCTTGAGGCACCATAAAAGTCGAGGTGTAGTTAGATATCTGTAAAGAAGATATAGTTTTCTATCTAAGCGAACTACACGATGACAAATTTAAGTAAGATCATAACTTGGCATATGGAAAGATTTGAACCTAGAAAACCCCTCAAAGAGTAAACATAAGCCAACCAAACTTATATATAAACACGACAACAAAGTCACCAAATTCTGATCCTTATCAACATGTTGGGTTTGTATGATTATTTTCAAGATGAAAGTATGTATATTATGACCTTAGTGACATTAGGATGATCAAGCTTATGCCACACCACCACTTCTTGCGTAAACGCTGCCCTAAGCGATTGTATTTCAACCTCCGTTCTGTGGCCTTCTTCCCCCCAATCCAGCAGTTTCACTAACAAGATCAAACAATAAAGGAGAATTTAGTCGATTAGATTACGTTGTACAAACAACCACCCTGCGTAAGCCGTCTCCATTCCATAATCATTCGAATAAATTTCTAAAACAACCATAATGATAATACCCCTAAAGAAGAGAAACCCACAATTCAAAAGTCTTGAATTGTGTTAGATTGTCGAGAATTAAGATCATAAAGCACAATTGGGATCATAATTTGTAACCCTAATTTCAAAGAATGGAATAATTATTGGGGAAGAAAAATACAGGTTGGATCACATGAAAGTCGGAAGCACAAGAAGATCATCAGTAATAGTTACTGGAAGCACCTGCAAAAAAGTCAAACGTTCTCCGTGTAGGTCACGGATTTCATGTTGACCATTTTCACTTTTACAATTACACAGCCATTAGCCACCGCCGGGCACCTACCACCGTCATGGCGTCATCCGTAACCCCCGACCCCCTTTTTCCCCCAATCAGTCGACATTAAAAATTAAATAACGTAAATAGGCAAAAACCCATTACGATTTCAAGCTCATAAATACTGCAACTGCTTGTTATTTATTAACAATAACAAATTAAAGTCGGAGGAATCAAAATTACCGTTGTCTTACGATATTCAATGTCAGAAATTTGCAAATGTGCATCATAAAACGTAGAATTTGAAGTCAAACCAGGAAATTAAATTCAACAAAATAACTGTATAGGTGCAGAGAAGTAGGATTAAGTAAGGGAAGACTGACCGGCGACGTCCATGCCGTCGTAGATGCCACGATGGACGGTGCCAAATGTACCACGAGCAAGAACAGTTTTGATGATGAGCTTAGAAGGATCGATCTCCCACTCCTGTCTCTCTATCTTACTAGTTGCGGTAGGCAATGGTCTGACGACGTTGGTGGTGGCAGCGGCGGCGGAATCTTCAAAGTCCGGCTGCTTCTTTTTGTTCTTCTCCATAGTCCATACTTTGCTGAGATGGCGCTCAAGCTGTTCATCCAAGCTCTTTAGATCAATCTGATCTGCCCTTACAAACCCATCATTACTGTTGTTCTCCTTCATCTCTTCCAATCGGCGATGCTGATACAAAGCAGCAGTGAAATTGGGTGTTTTTTGTGGGTAAATCAAAATCAATTTTGTTTATAGTTACGGCTACGGGTACGAGGGAGGCCATCCACCATTATTCTTTTCCGGATATGTACAAGTACCCACACACCTTTTTCTCTTTTTCATGTATTTATCTTATTTTTTTAATTAAATTAAATACAAATTTTTATTGTTTTTCTTGAAAAAATAACTAATAAAATATTTCATTATTTAATTAATAAATATATTTTTAATAAAATATGCCATTATTGATTAAATTACTAATGAAATACTTTATAAATATTAACTAAAAACGTTATTAAGTTAAGAATTCTTAATTGTTAATTATGTAATAGTTATTTCGTAATTGTGCATTAATTTTATATTTAATGGATTCTTCAAAGTAAAAAAAAAAAGTGAAATTCTTTAAATTTAGAGAACTTCCGAAATAATTATTTTAAGAGAAAATTATTATTTTTATATTCCATCAATAAAAAACTTGAAATTAAATGTTTAAGAGAAAGAAAACAATACCTTACTCATTTTATAAATTGCAACGTTAATTATATAATTAAAATATATAATATATTTAATAAGATATTATTTAGGCATGGTGATTTGTCTGGTTTCTCTGATCGTTTGAGGGACCTGTTTCACCCACGTCGATAGGGGATCGGGATTCCCTGCTAAATTAGGTCCCACGTACGGGAACAAGGATTATCGTCTGGCTCAAGCCGGGGATGGGGTGGGGGTCTGTATCATTTTCCTCGACCCGCTCGTGCCTATATTATAATTAATAGTTTAAGAATATTATATATAGAGAGAGGTGCAATCATTTGTTAATCAAGTAAATAGTATTAACTTTGTTATCCGATTTGAGCTTTTTATTTTGTTGATCGACGGTTGTGATTAAATGAGTATATAATATGATGAAAAAGAAAACACATTAAATGGTATTAAATGGAGGGCGTTTTTTTTTTAATAAAATTGTTTTATTTTTTAAAGATGTCATATTTCATTTTTGAAGAAATTAAATTATATTTTTGGAATTAATTGTCCATATTGTTGTTTCATTTATTAACTTTGAAAGTTTATAGGCAAAATCAGAAAGTTCATAGATGAAACAATATCATTCATTTATTGGGTTGTATTGGTTGTACAAATGTGATGAGTTGTATTTGAAACAAACTATATATATATATATATATATGTGTGTGTGTGTGTGTGTGTGTCTGTGTGTGTGTGTGGGGGGGGGGGTTATTATACAACCTCTTACATTTATACAACCAATACAACTCAATCTCAACCGTCCATTTAATTTGATAAATATGTAATTTCATAAAAGTTTTGATTGTTTTCTAATATAAAGTATTGATTATAATTAATGAATCTTATTCATCTTCCATAAATATTTAATTCATAATAAATGAACTCTTATCATTTTTATAAATATTTTAATTTATTAGGTTGCATTGGTTGTACAAATACAATGAGTTGCATTTGAAACAAACTCTATATATAGGGACAAGTTCATTTGTCAATCTTAATTATTGTATTAACTTTATGAACTAATCATGACCATTGATTTTTAAAATAAAGGGTTGAGATTAATTATCTTATAAAATTAATTTATTAAATATGTAATCTCACAAACATATGTGAACGCAATTGTTGCAGCGTATTTATGTAAAAGATAATGTGAATTCAATGTAATCGGTTACAAACAATGGAAATCGGTTACAAATCGTATATGTTCAATTGGATTCATAATTGTCACAAATGTTCATATATGTTAAATTTGTGTTCATAATTGCCACAAGTGTTCACATATATGTCAATTTGTGTTCATAATTACCAAGACACTCGCTTTGATTATTTACTTCACTTCCCGATCTCGAACTCCGACTGTCATCATAAACAATTTTAACCTTCTTAATGTTGTCGTGTTGTTTTACAATGTTTTTATCCATAATTGTTTGAACGATAACAAACATTTTACTAGCGGATCTCTTCACCAATCACAAACTTATAAATATTAAAAATGAAAGATCAATATAAAAAATATAAAAAATCACAAGATCAATATGCAAAAATCATGGGATTTTATGGATCTTGTAACTCCCAATTAATGATATATAGGAGTTACAAAAAAATTACTCATATACCTTAACATTAAATTCTTAAATAGTGAAGAACCTAATACTAAGATGGATTGTTATTATAATACATGAAAAAATAGAATAAATTACACTTTTGATTCATCATTCATTTTAGAGTATCACATAAAAGAGGAAGAAAAAAAACCCGATTCCTCATTCGGATAGGGGAGTGATCATATTCCCAAGCGGGATGGCGACGTAGATTAGGAATTGGTGACGGAAATGGGGATGCCTCCGCTCCCGTGCCTACTTATTTCACCTGAACATCTAATTTCAAGGTACTCTTATTGGTGAAATGATAAAGAAAAATCATTTTTATGAAGTTCAAATGTAGATAATTTTATAAGACTAATTTATTAAAATAGTCATTTTTCATGGTTGGTTTCACCGCATAGTTATTTCTCTCTAAGTTTACCAAAATATCTCATAGGTCTGCAAAACTCACGTCCACAACTGCAGACCCAGCTAAAAGACAAAGTAAAAAAAACATTTTTTTTACCTTTGTTTGCAAAAAATTTACATTTGTTTACCAATATTTGCAAAAAAAATTACACTTCTCACCTAGTTTTGCAAAAAAATTACATTTTTCACCTAATTCCAGGAAAAAAAATTACGAACCTAGGACTATTTTGGTAAACCTTTTAAAGAAATGGCTAATAAATGAAACCAGTCGATAAAAAAGGTTAATTTAATTAATTTACCATGTTATAATCTTTCTTCTATTTTATTTATTTTAATAAAATGTATTAAAATAAAAAAAATTATTCTAATATCTTCGTTTTAAAGAGAGTAAACTTCATTTTTGGTTCTTAACGTTTGTCAATTTCAAAGGTTTTGTACAACTTTATTTCAACATATTTGTCCTCATGTTTGCCATCTTGCAATGATTTGCATCCCTTCTCTTAACGACTGCTAACTTTTTCCGCTAGATCCAATTAAACGAGGGGTATTATGGTTATTTTACTCACTTTGTTTTATATTTTGTATTATATATATATAAAAAGTGGTATATATAATATATACATATACATGTATAAAATTAAGTTCCCCATGACATCATCATCCAAAAACTCCTTCATCGGGGCCATATCCAAATCTTCGAGGCCAATATCATCCAGAAACTCCTTTGTCCCTGTGGGTTCTCCCTGTATAATCGGTGCCTTCGTCCCTATGGTTTGCCTCTGCTAAATCAACCACCATCTCCGGTGTAATCGACCAACAACATCTCCTAATCCGTCCGTCTCCAGCATCATCATCGTCAATCTTGTCAATGCCCTCCCTCCCTCCCTCCTCTCTTCTCCCTCATATCTGGTTCCATTCCACTTCCACTTCCATTTCCAATTTCTTCTTCTAGCTGAACAGATTGAGCAAAGCCATGCTGGGAAATCTCTAAATTAAGATGATGATGATATTGTTTTGAATCTTGATTGTTGAATCAAATATGTTTTAAAAACCTTTGTTAAATCTTGATTGTTGAAGTTTTTAAATTAATGTTTGATTTTCAGAATTTGTGATGACTGTGGAGTGTATTCGTTGGTAAGGTTAAAGGGATGACATGTTCAATGGTGGTAAGATTAAAAAAAAAAAAAAAGGAATAAAAGATTAATAATATTATAAAATATAAAATATAATATGTTTTTTTAATAGAAAAACTAGAAAATGGATAAAAAGACCAAAATGATATTCATTTAATTGGACTTGATAGAAAAAGTCAACAACCGTTAGAGAAGAGACGAAAATCATTGTAAGGTGTCAAATGTGAGAGACAAAATAAAGTTAATGGACGAAAACCATTAAAATTATCAGATGCTAGGAACCAAAAATAAACTTTACTCTTCTAAAAAAATCTATTTTATTCGTATAAAAAAATCTGAAATTTGGAAGGTTAGGGGCCGTTTACCAAACGCTTACCCGAAAAACGTTTACCAAGTCACATTATCTTATCGAATGAATATAATAAGGATCAAGAATCTTATCTGGTAAGAACGAAACAAGTACCAAGAGTTTTACCCGGTAAGTGAGGGCGACGATTCTTACCATAGTAAGCGTCTACCGGGTAAATTGTTGCATACGATATTATTTTGGTGGACTAAAATCTTATCCGATAAGTAATTAAAAGTATTAAATTTTACTAATAAACACTAACTGAATAAATGTTTGGTAAACAACCCTAAATTTTATTACTATTTCATTCATAGTTGTTCATCATTTTAGAACTGAGGCTGGCTATTTCATAAATAAATAATATTATCTTAAATATTCCATTTTTATTTGTAATTTGATAAAATGTATTAAAAGCTTTGTTTTTGTTATTCCATAATTATTTTAATATTTTATTATTTTTTTTAATCTTTATTAGTTAAGAATCTGATGACCAAATATAAATGATTTTATAAATTTAAAAAAATAAAATTAAAACAATGGGGTCATGTGGGCACATGGGTTTGCCTCAACCCTAACGTGTTCCTGACCCACCCTGCTTCCAATATTTCTTTTTCTTTTTCTTTTTCTTTTTATCTTTTTCATTTATTTAATTTTAATTTTTATTTATTTAATATTTTCAATCATTTTAAAATTTAATAATTCAAATTCATGATAACTTATAATCATGCCTTGATAACTCCATTCGCAATACGTTAAAGAACATAATTACTTAACAATAATACTTCATGAATTTATTTAATTAAAAATCATTGATTTATGGATAATAGAAAAAAAGTTTTAAAAAAATATAAAAATTCGTAGTCAATGCATAATTGTGTTATTAATTAATACTCTACTATAAATTATTTAAGCTTTATAAATATCCTTAAATTTTATAACAATATCTATACTATATTATAAAGCATTTGGCTAAAACTCTTAAAAACTCTTAAACTCTTAAAGCTCTTAAAGACAACATTTATTGCTAATGGTACAACCTGTTAAAGCCATCCCTAAACCCGTTCATCCCTA